TTACCCTAGGAAATGAGATCGTAGATGGAGGGGGAGACTAAAAGGGATTGGGAGGGACAAAGAAACCCACAGCATGAACGCCAATGAGGTCGGCTCCTTGCCATGTCAGCAAGTGTATCCAGCCAAACGTGTTCACCGTCTTTTGGACCCCAACCAGGGAGCCGTGACGCTCCAATCGAGGCCAGCTCCGAAGTGATGGACTTCATTCCTCTGGACCAAGTCATCGCTTGGCCACCTCTCCTCTTCTTCCACCCACATCCCCGGTGAGCAAACAACGCACGTCGCGGAAGTCGGTGGGCTGGCATGCGTAACACGTGGCTGAGCCATCGGAGCCTGGTGCGGGAAATAACGGTGCTGAGCGGTTCAGATCATTTTGCTGGGCCGTAAACAATGCGTCGAACACGTTCGTTACTCACGCGCTGTTCCCACCAGATGTGAGCCAAACTGCGAAGGCACCGATGGTCGAACATAGCTAGCCTCTTCATATCGGTTGATCTAATGGGCCAGGTTTCGCAACCGTACAGTAAGGTCGAACGTACCGCTGCATTGTACACTCTACCCTTCAGGGCGAGAGTAATGTCGCGCCGCCGCCATAGGTGGCGAAGGTTAGCAAAAGCACTCCGAGCTTTCGCTATACGGTTCAGAGTAAGGCACCCAATATGGGTCTGCTGACAATCAACTCCAAATGTAGATGCAGAATTTAAACAGAGTGGTTCATGTTCAGGATCGTGACGCCAAATATTGTATCAAGTAAGCAGTAGGTAAGGAAAGGTGTTTATCGGTAAGAAGAAAGCATCATCTAGAAAGCGTACGACGCAGCGATCAAAGCGGTCTACGTAGAAAATGGCGAGAGTTAAAGGTATTTCAAACAACCAGCAAGAAATGGGTACCGCGTTCAGACATCGCCGTGGCGACTATAACAGTCTCCGAGTGTTAGAGTGGGTGGTGGTGAATTAGTTCACCTTTTGTGAAGTGTTTTAACAACACCACTGCGCATGGTTTGAAAAGTACAGACAATAGTTAGTGGCACCGGTAGCATCCATATTGTTGTACCGTAGCTAGTGTGCCTATCAAGGCATATTTGTTGCTGCGTTTCTTAAGCGCTAACCTAAGTGACCAGAAGAGGAAAGCAAACATACTCGAGCAGGGTATTCCGCTGATGCCGCACGATAGCCTGCTACATGTGAACGTATGTTGTTGAATTAAAGTGCTGGCACTTTAATTCTGTATGCTTGATTATCGCAGTTAGATTCAACACAAGATGCAATCCTCGCCTGGATTTCTTGAGCGTTAGAATTGGGCGAATCACCGTTATTACTTTCATGATAAAAGGAATCTAGTAGTGCGCGAGGGTGCCAAGTTGGTGATGAGGAGGGCCGTGCATACCACAAAGCAGAAGCTAGAACACTTACAATGGGGACTGGTTCCGTAGAGTGCCCGAGCACGATGACACATTAGTGCAGCATTGCTCTTCTGTTTCTAGTTTGAGCCGCAAGCCCTAACACCGACCCCTCGTACAAATGACCTTTTCTCAGATCTCTACCCTACAAGATAACAGCATCTTACCGATGGACCTTGTGAATGATGCGTTCAATTGAATACCACGTGTCAGGACTCCAACTATCGCCGCCACAACTCGTGAACCTCTGGTACCTGGCCGTGTTGGGTCTCACACACCGACAACACATTAAATCGTCATCCATACTTTCTCAACTGGATCGTTTGACATATCAAGTTCCGGAACTCATATTTAAAAGCGAGTCTGACTTGTTCTTTCCACACCTCTCATTGTTTATCATGGAGCATTGTATTGTTTGTCGGATTTATGACGGTGAGCACTTGAAGGAGAAAGTATGGGACAATGTGCAAAACCAATGGCTGCGATGTGCTAGTGGTCGTTCTCTGGCCTGATCGGCTGTTCCAATTGCATAATGTGCCAGGCTAACCAAAAGAAGAATCAAAGCTACGATAGAAGTAGAGAAGTGTAAACTCCAAGAAGGCAGTGTGCGTGCATTTGGGTGGACATGTGACCTACTGAAATAAGGTACCGTATATTGCCGTGTATAAGCTGAAGAATTTTAGACAATTTCCATGTCTGTAGTGGGGGGAAGGAGAGTTGACTTATACAAAGTTTATGCGCAATTTGAAAAAAATCACATGCAAAATCCACCCAGAAATTCACTACACATCTATGCCCCTAACTTGCCTTAGCACGCCTCGTTAGTGACAGACGGTATTTCAGGCGTGGAGCTGAAGAGAGACACATTATGTTTGTGTCAAAAATTCTCGGTACATTGCACAGTTGACTTCGCGACGGAGGGCAGAAACATACTGATTATACAGAAACGAACACCATCACACAAATTAACATTAGAAAAAAGATATGACAGAAGAGTGCGTACCGGTAGGCTCGCATATCCAAAAGCTGCACAATGGTATTAAAATTCTTCAAAACTAGAATCAGTCGGAATCTCTAAACAGTTTCTGGTACTGGTCGTTCGACATTGGGACGTCAGGGTGAATATCGTCATCTTCAAGTTCACTGCACTCGTCCTTGCCGTCTTCCTCAAAAATGGCATCCTCCTCACTTCCAACCATAGCATTACTGATGCAGCACATTTGAAGGATCGTACGATAATTTCTGATGGAATATCCAGCGACGCTTCACGTACTCTACAATTGTAACAACGTCAACATTGTTCACATTGCCACCTTTCGTCAACGCCAAATCAGACGATGCCATCCATTCAATCCAGCTAGCCCGAAGCCTATCTTGAAAGTGCTTACTGAGACAAACATCCAGTCGCTGCAAGATTGAGGTAAGTCAATCGAAAATTAAAGCCACGGAAGACTTTAGTTCACGACATCGTTTCTCTACGTTCTCAGTTCGGTGTGCCCTAAGGGAATCCCAAACAAGCACAGATGGTTTCTTTAAAAGTGCATCGCCTCGCTTTCCACAAAACTGTATTCAGCCAGTGCCACTCTCGTCCATCCATCCTTTTACGTGAGCTCACACAAAACATGCCGCCAGGGGACTACGCTCCTTTAGGCAGCGCCTTACGCTTAAAAATAATGAAAGCTGATAGACGGGAAGCATCCGTTATACACCCTAAAACAACTGTGAACCGTGTCCACTCGTGTTTCGTCGTCTTTACAAAAACTGTGCAAGCATCTTTCGGCTCCACCATGCGATTTGAAGGCATATCAAAAAACACGGGCGTCTCGTCCATAATTTCTTTTTGGGAAGGTTCAAAGTAGTTTTGCTTTCCCAGCTAAATCACGAACCTTTGAAAAGATTTAACCTTACTGTTCTATTCCTTCGGCAGTTTCTAGGCTAGTTTTGTGGCGGTCCATAGACCCATGTCAAACCGGTTCATAAAACGATTACACCATGCGGAGAAAGGAACAAAAATTCACCAGTTTCGATGGCTGGAATTCCGGACTGTTAAACCTTGCGACCGCCCTTATCCGAGTGTTCGCATGGGTAACAATTAACCCGCTGTGCCGTGACTCCATAACCCACCGCGTTAACTTTTCGGTCAGTGCAGAAAACATGGTTGTTCTATTGCGTGCTGCGCTCTTGCCTACTAGAATTAGAGACAATTCTGACTTTACCTATCTCCATTCTCTCACTTGCTTTTCATTCACCCTGAAATGGCGTGGAGCCATACAATCAGTAGATTGGTGGGAAAGTGCGATAAGTTTCAATGTTAACCCAGCAGCATCTGGACATCGCTTCTGTCCAGACATTTCCTCACGTTTGCAAGGCTTTGGAAGATCGCACGAAATGTGAGCACATTCCCCCTCAGCTGGATCGTGTGACATCGCGTTAGCACTAGTTTGTTTAGCGAATCACAGCGCTTGTACATTATGCCATGCTTATCAATCTGGTGCATTAAAAGTACTTCGTCGTCCCACACCAACGATCGTGAACTTCCCTCTGACTTGCTGCTCCACTGCGATTCAGATGCATGAGGCCCCCGACTATGCGAGACAGTGTCTGATATACTCTTTCAACTTACCCCATATTTTCGGCTGTCTTACCTGTTTCGTGTGACTTGACATCGAACCAATACACTGTCCAGTGCGGCTAAAACCTTTGTTCTGACGGCTTTAAGCCCCCAGTAACTGCGATCATTAGGTCGCCAGAACTGACCAATAGTAGAGCAGCTTTCGCTTGAGCACACTCAAGTGAGAGTAGGCAGTAATGAAGTCAAAATCATGAGAAACAATTTTGTTCCTTTTTGATGATTTTTGGGGGTCGGCTAATATACGGACTTACGAGGTTAGACAAATTTGACGTTGCAAAGCGATATTGCCGGCTTATGCACGGTAATATACGGTCCTTAATGGATGTGTAAAGGATATTCGTACAAAGCCTCGCGGATGTGGCCACATTCGTATACGGGTGACGTATATCGCAGGCTTCTAGACCTTGAAGAGTTGCTCAGGTTGACACTTGGTGACGGTGGCCGATCGACGAAGTGGACGCATGGAAAGCGAATCAGGCGTTGCGCATCAGTGGACAGAAAGTGCATAGGGTGCCCAGAGTCCGTAGCACACAGAATACCTCATATGTAACAATGCGATAGATAAGGAGGGAGTGGAGTGATCAGTATAGCGTCCGACGTGGGCCAATGGGCACTGAAGTGAAGTCAACTGATGGTGAACGGAAATTGATGGAAAACAACGACAACCGCACCATTCATTAATCTCCTTACGAGACTCTGTGAATATAACTAAATTTCGTGCGTTAAAAATGAAAAGCCTATCAAGTAAGATACGAAAGTTAGGTCACTGAAACGTGGAAAAGAACGAGTTCCTGCTAAAGCACTGAGTTAGAAGTTACAAGGACGACGTATGGTGAAACATGCGCTAAACATGAGGATAAGTAGTGCGGTCGAATACAAATGCTGACATGGAGGTGCAATTGTATGGAACAAACATGCGGATAAATAAATGAATAGGAGAAAAAACCGAAGCAAAAGAGGAGAACGTACGAAAAATTCCACTGTACATGTGTTTGGATTGTTGACCAAACCAGGCCAAAAGTGCCACTCATTGATCAGGTATTCGAAAATATTCGTGGTGTGAGCAATCGACTGAAATTTTGAAGGACAAACAAAACGACAAATGATGACGACGTAATCAGGAGGAGCATAAAAAGGGACTGATAGACGACTTGGTTTTTAAACAGCCCAGAGTACGGTAGTTAACTCAGGGCAAAAATAAGGTAACAGTCGATACCGAAATTAGTCGACTGGTTTACTGGAGTAGACCATTTCATGAAGTGGGCGGCACAACCGCACATCCGGTTACCTGACACTATCGGAAGAGTGGAGGTAAGTGTAAGGTGGAATCACAACGATGGAGCAGCGAGGCCGACGGGAAGTGAACGGTAACAAACTGAATATTGATCACCGGCACCTGAAGAACGCGATCTGTAGTCGCAGCCACGCGTCCATGGTCAACCGAAGTAAAAAACATGCAACCCAGCTTGCATAGCACAGTTAAGGAATGTTAACGTTGAAAGTTTGGTTCTGAATGGATAATATTACGATGCGAGTAGATATGAGATAGTGCGGTCCAGAATATTTTGATTCGCGGAGACCTTACGTGAAAATAACAAGAGAATTTGGAGGTTGCACAACCGAAAAAATGTAGTAGAGGGAAGGTGCCGCATAGCGCTCGTCAGTTGCATCCTGGACAACTCCAGAATACCAGTTAACCATAGCGAATCCATAAATTGTGTATGAAGTCAGCATCGTATAAAAAGATGAATGGGATCGATTGAGCGAACGGAAGGTAATCAAATAAATGAAATAAGAGCAAATAATGAGAAAAAGTGCGAACAGTTCATGCAGCATAGAGAAAAGTGACTCCTAAGCAGACTTTCATGCTAGCACAAAAAGGACACGCGTTTTAGATGATACATCTCGTTGGTTGGCAGGATCCATGTTTCGTCGTTGCACGAATGAGATCGGCAGCACAGTGTTCTAGCATCTACGTAGATCGAACCAAGGACCATGCCGATTCTCACCGATGCGTACTTACGGTTGCTTTGTGGGTTAGTTCTTCGGTACTGTGCTGCTTCACAACATCGGTTTGGCAACGCAATGTGTCTCATGCATCCCGACAAGTGGAACGGACTAAAGCCTACGAGTACGTACTGACGGTCCTGGTGCAAGCAGTCATTCGGCTTTGAGCTGTAGTTGGATAGTCGCTTAAGTTTCTAACCTCTTACCGCAATAGATAGGAATAAAGGCAGAGGCAATACCACACAACCTTACGTTCATAACCAACGCAGTGCAGAGCACACCTTGGTGGCCGGTGTCATTTTCGTTTTCTTTTTGACAATAAAGTTCCTCAAATCGGCTGAACATGATGGGTGATGATGTGATGCGAGTCTGGTGAAGAGAAACGCTTTGCAGATCTTCGCGTCTATATGGCGCTCCGTATGTCTAATTCCGATAGATGAAAAAATACATAGAGCTATGAGCGTCCGTTACATCTCTACTGACACGGGATTTGAATATGACTATCGCCAGTTGCGCTTCAAAACAAAGGAAAACATGTTCAAAAGACACCACAGCGGCACCACACTTTCAACAGTATGTGCCTCCAGACACAGTGGGTTACCTAAGGGAGGTTATCACTGATCAATTGCGCACACGAGCAAGCTACTTGTAACCGATGGAAACGACCTGAGTCAAGGGTAGTCGTCGACTGACGAGGTAACGAAAAATAAGAGAGTTTTGCAGTTCGTACAGTAATGCTTGTTCTTGACTGACGGGGTTCGGTGAGCTGCAGTGTGGTAAGTTTCTTACGTGTTTTGTTGAGAGCTATTTGTCATCCCAAGGGGAGTTGGCCAACATAGATGCTACAGGCATCCGGTTGCACGTAATGAGGAGCGATGTGCCTTGCTTTCGAAAAGGAAGCGTTTGTAAATTGATATTGAGGACTGAATTGCACAGAGATGGACCAGTAAAGGTAGCAATCCAAGGTGAACCTAGGCCTACAAGAAAAGCTAAAGGGCCATTGCGCTTTTATGATCGAAGAAGCTACTGGAGCTGAACTGGCATCTTCACTATTCGCAATGGGTCAAACGTAATGTCCATCAAGAACCGCTTTCGTACCCTTTCTGGGTTGTACGAAATCTTCAGAAACCTCTGCGGAGGAGTACCAGGACAAAGTGAGTTCATCCAAGCCTAAGAGTGTCGGGAGCTCATTGGTTCAATTTCGTGCGCTCCTGCCATGTATATTGAGTGTGGTAGCATTAGTAATCCTTTCTTCTCAGAAACCTTGAACAAACCATCTGAAAGGAAACCCACAGGATTGAGCGCCTGAGGAATATAAGTGGAAGAAAAAGCTACTGACCATACAAGGAGAAAATCGGATCCCAGTCCATGTTCCCTGATTTTATTTGATAACACGCTATGTTTGGAGCATCATTATCATTCATGATGACACACGATAGCTAGGGGGTTGGAAAGACCTGAGCTATTGTGTTGCGATGCATCAGAATTGAAAAAAGATGCAACTGAGCCACCAGTAACGAATGGACATCGTTCCGGAGAGATCAGGGTTAAAGGTGGAGGCTAAGATGGATGGGTAGGGACAAAAAAATTCACAATACAAACGCAACTGAGGTCGGCTCATAGCCATGTCAGCAAGAGTATCCAGCCAAACGTGGTCATCGTCTACCGGACCACAACCATGGAACCGAAACGATACAACCGAGGCCAATTTTAAACAAAGGGCACTCATTCCATGGCCAAGCCATCGCTTGGCCACCCCTCCTCTTCTTCTCTCCACAACCAAGGCGCGCAAACAACGCACTTCGCGGGAGTCCGTGGGCTAGCATGCGCAACACGTGGCCCAGCCATCGGAGCCTGGTACGTGAAATGACTGTTCCGCGTGTTTCACTTCCACTTCCTGTGCCATAAACAAGACGTCGAACATGCACATTGTTCACGAAGTGCTCCCTTCAGAGATGAGCCAAACTGCGAAGGTACCGGTGGTCGAACGAAACTAGCCAGTTTACGTTTTCCGATCTAATGGGCCAGCTTACACAAGCGTACAATAGGGTCAAACGTACGGCTGCAATGCACAATCTACCCTTCAGGGAGAAGGCGATGTCGCGCCGAGGCCATAGCTGGTGAGGTTAGCAAAAGCACTTCTAGGTTTTGCTATACGGTTATTGACATCATCTTCCATTCCACAGGCGCTGATACGATTGCCTGGGTAGTTGAATTTCTGAACGACTTTTATCTGATATCAACCACGGGGCAGCGCGGGAGTTGGTCCCAGCCAACCATGGAGGAAAGGTTTGCACATCGAGGGTGCAAAAAAAAGCCCGAAACGGCTGACAGCCAGTGCTAATCTGTCTAGTAACGCCTGGCATATTTATGGGCTGCCGTTAGAATACTCCAATCCAAGAAGTTCGGACGGCAGAAGCTCCACACATCGTGTCCAGTCAACGCGATTTAAATGACTTCGCAGTTGAAAAGAAAGGTGACGGCGAGTATTCCTGTTTTGCACCGCTGGAGACATTGCAGGGCGGCGACAGTTCGCTGTAATCCATCACTCTGACCCAACTTTACGCACAAAGCACTGGGATAATATTTAGGTATTTCTCGGATACAACTCACCCAAACAGACAGTCTCAAATACCTAACCAATTCACCGAATGGAAGGCACCTCTAATGTCGAGGAACACGACTACGGTGGGTCGCCAATTTATGTGACAGTGCTATGACGATTGACGCAAAGTGAAGATGTGATCGATGCAGCCCCGATCTAGACGAAACCCGACTTGCCGCTCCCGAATATGGCTAACAAGAGTGCCAAACAATCTGTGACGGACCGCAAAGGCAAGCAATTAGGAGGCGATGGAGATCAGACTAATTCCTCAATGGTTGCTGCACTCCGGAAACAGTCATAAGTAGTACACCGGCACACATTGTACCGACCCATGGCTGCCACGCAACCAACACCGGTCGTGCGTGGGCTGAATATACTGCGAGGACTCCTGCCCCAACGCGGACCTAAGGGCTGCAAGCTACGAGTGTAAAGCGTTCGGTCACCGGTCGAACGCTGTATTCCGAATGTGAGCCCTC